GAAGACTCACCATGAAAAGACTATAATTCCTCTAAAAATACCTACTTATGCTACTTTTTCTTCTGAAAACAACAGGAAAGCGAACATTTAGGCTAGTATCATGAAATGTGAGTGCAAATGTGGGGGAGGTTACTTTGGTTTTTGTTGTTTTGTTTTTCCTTGATAAAGTACCTGGTGCAACTGTTTACCTTCTTCATGAATGCTGAGATCTAGGCTTCTGCAAACCTAAGGGCTATTTTAAAAACCTCTGCTTTCATCCAGCTGTGGATTGGATTAGCACCTTGGAAACCTGTTAATGTTGAGCTGGGTGCTGTGATCAAGCTCGCCAAAGTCATGTTAAGGGTAAAGAGAAGACTGGTTTCCTATACAATCTCCTTTGTAATCATATTGCCACCCTAAATCTCCCAGCTGTTCTAAAATTTCACTACTGCTGTTATTTGAAAGTATCCCAAGGCTGTAGACACCACAGTACTGCCCAATTAGCTTTAAACAACAAAAACAATGATTCTAATCAACACTGATATTGTTTTTTTAAATGCAGACATAGCAGAGGATTTCAGTAACTACTGTAGGAGCTGGTAGCCCTCTGTGTATAGTAATTGTGGGAGAGCACAGTTTTACAGCATTTCAGTGTAAATAAGTGTGTAGTGGGCAAACAGCCAAGCGCTGCAGGGCCCATGCCAAGGACTGGAGAGGATATCAGAACTGCACTTGGCAGTTGTCAGGGTGTGTAGTGTCCATGGCCCTTACACAAGGAGTCAACAATTTCTGCTTGATATCCCCATAAAGAATTTAGCGTCTTTTTCCTTTTTCTTCTCTTAAAATCTATTTCTTCAGTTCATCACATGTGCCAAATATACATGCCAAACAATTAAATGGAATTAATTTGGTCTTTCCATAAAAATTCTACCCTCAAAAAATTAACTTTAACATCAATATAACATTGTCTAGCATTCTCAGAGCAGCATTTTGTGCTTGCTTCAACATCATTCAAAATAATGACATTGCTTAGACATCTGGAGAAAACTTCGTAGATAAGAAATGTTCACATTCACCAGCTGTGGCCACTCTGCCAAACTGATGTCCCTACTGATGGTGCATTTGTGATTTTCTTATTGTGTGGCTCATACTTTTGAGGTTGGTCAGTTTATGATGAAACAGGACAATCTGTATTCCCTGTTGACATATTATAATTTGCCAATGTCAGTAGTTTCACTTCATGCTAAACTTCAACATTTCACATTTTGCCTTTGTTCTGAATTATTTTAAAGTATTTTAAGCAAGACAAAAATGTTATGGAAGTAACCTTTCAACTATTTTTTCCTTTACCTTACTTTGTGGCATTTGAGAAGTAGTAGCACATCACAAGGACATAATATATCATCTCAAATCATGTCCTAGCAGGACATGTGATATCATTCTTACTGTTTCAACAAGATTAGAAGATAAGCAAGTTAGCAATAACTCTGTATGAATTCTGAATATTGAAATTAATTGTTCCTCTTATTGGCACAGTGAGGCCTGAGGTTCCCATATTTAAAGTATAAATTGAATGAAGACATAAAGATACTTCTCGTTTTGGATTTAAAATCGTCTTCAGCATTAAACGCATATTACTTCATTTTATAAATGAAGAGTTTATATGTATGTGGAGTCACATGCATTTCTTTATTCCTTGTAAAATCTTGTACGTTTGCTTATGGCTTCATGCCTTCATTTAATAAATAATGTAAAAAGTCGCTACTTGAAGAAACTTGTTTGATCTTTCTAAGAAGATAATTATTTGAAAATTTCCAGTAATTTGGAAAGTATCTGTCTTAATGATACCTAATTCATAAGTGCATTACCCCATTGAAGACAAGCTCATGGTACTCAGAGGATCACTTATTTTTTATGAGGAAGAAATAATATATAACCGCCAAATGAATTTGCAAGTGTAATGATAGCTGTATTAACCCAGTGAGAATTATTACAGTAACAGACTAAACAAAACACTTCAACAGATTTTACTCGATGAATGTAACACTGCAGTCAAAATCTGCACTTAAGCTCCAGCTGTACTGAACAAAGTTAAGCGTGACTACTGAAAACTTGCAAGAAAGAGATCTAGAGGCACCGCCTAATTTGACTAAGGAGTTTCTACCTGCAATAAAGGAAAAATAATTAAAAACCTCTTTTACTTGAAGGACCCAGTCTGTTGACGATTATATACTTTGCAATACCAAAGAAGGTAAGATATGTATGGTCTGGAAGAAAAAGGAGCTCAAATATGATCACATGTGACCACTAGCAGTGTGAAAAGCATGGGTTCATATTATAAGAATACCTCATAGACGCTACTCTAACGTAATAAGCAGTAAAACAGTTGGTAAATATTTGTCAAGCATGTAATTATTTTTCAAACAAACTAGGGTTGTAAACCTACCAAGCAAGGAGGAAAAGAAAAGGAAAAAAATAATAAATAGAGTAACTATTAGCATGACTGATCTCACTTTCATTAGACAGTTTCCCATGAGAGATTGGGAATTTGGGGCTACAGTAGCATATGTTAAGAATATTTATTACTGCAGCTCTTCCATATTGTGGAAGGAGATGGAAACTTGCAGAATCTCAGAAAGGCTGAATTGAAGCTCTTGGGAAAAGATCCATATGGTTCTCCAAAGCAACCCCAAAAACTCGTGTATTCCAGGGAGGAAATGTAGTTTTGTTAACTGTCTTGAATGACACAATACACATCCACTTTTCCTTCAATAGTCAAGGTATTTCCACTGTAGTTTCATCATCGTTTTTATCTGAGTTTGATTTTTTTTTCCATCTGAAAGTGGTTGAATACATTCTTAGCTTATACAAAAATACTCAGTATTTTATAAAATGAAATAATTGTAGTTGTATGCACCCCCTTTTTGTGGATTGCCCTGATGTCAGGTTTTGAATTTTTTGCTATGTTTGAGAAGTGAAGCAGCTCCCAACTTCTGCTTTCCACTGAAAATTTACATGACCATGTCTGTCCCACTGGGAAAATAAATGTAATGTTGAGTTTGAGTCATGTGATTTCTCAATATAATTCAAATAAATTGAATCATTATGATTTTTTTGATGTGTGTTGGGACTGTGGCCAACACAAGACATGACCAACACTGCAAATGATCTCTGTGGCCTGGAAAATGAAATTCCAATTTTAGCAATTTCGGCCTGACCCAAAAGGCATTTTGGGAGCTATGCTTCTATGCCTCAAGACTTTTGTTTTTATAGGGTGAAGACCAGTTGGGCAGCATCCTTTCTGGACAGAAGAGTAAACAACAGAAAAAGTGATACCATGCCACTTGGTCATGGAAAATATGTGGTGTTCACTGTGGAAGTGCTGTATGAAGCTATCACTCACACTGCCCATTGTGCAATTGCTGTTTCAGTCATAATGGCTGGTTTGTTTGTTTTTCTTTTATTTAAAGGTAGTCTAGCTTCGGGGTTGTTTTATGACATGGTACCTCACTTGGCAGCAGAGTGGCACCAAGGAACTGCAGCTCTGGTGGAGAAGGGTTTGGATGTACCCTTTCTGAAGGGGATTGAGTGTCAAGGGACCCAAGAATCTCCTGGGGGCTAGGGCTCTGTGGGGGTAGGTTCATCACAGTCTCAGCTTTTATTAATGCTGTGATAACATCAATGGTTTTGATTGTATCCATAATAGGATTTAAACTCTAAACTTCTGTCTGCTTGTTGCTGTTTGTCCTTTGCCATTATTTCCATCAGGGAGCTGTGTCAGAAGTTGTGGCAAAGGGAAATTTTAAAGAATAGCCAAATTTGAAAAGCTCTGGGGAGGTTACGGAGTAACTTCCTAACACACAAGATTTTTTGAAAAATTCAAGAAAAGTTGGAGTATATTTTCTTCTATTTTCTGCTCCTTTTGCTTTAGGTCACTAGGCATTTTAGTTTTGGAAGATCAATATAACATAGCAGATGTATTTGGACTCCTATAAGCAATTATTATTCCTTAGGGAATAATTTTCTTTCTTAGTTCAAAGACATCTTATTAAACTTTTTGCTGTAACTATTACAAGCTTCAGGAAAGAAAATATAAAACATTTGGAAAGTTAAAATTTACCTTTATTTTAAATTGTCAACGTAGTGGCAACTACTGTTTGCTCTCATAGTTGTTGAATATAGGCAGCTGCATCACTTCTGATGGGGCAATATTGTCGTTATCCAGCAGCAAACCATGGCTGGAGTTGGTCATTCCTGGGACATGCAGAGGTACTACGACATGTGCATGACCACTGTTCTTGGCTGTAATCTCTGTTCTCTATTTTCCTTGTAACTGAATTTATATCCAAGGCAGGCACTGCAGTCAGCTACAGTGATGTTTTTCAACTAGAATATTACACGTCTGTCAGTGAATCGTAAATGCCCTAGAAAACCATGCTTTAGCATGCTATTCCCATGTCAATTTATGAAAGGATAGAGAGTGACTCTGAAAAGCAGAATATAGAAATTCAATGTTTTGTTTGGCGTTTGCCTTACTAGGATTCAATATTTATGTGTTAAGTGGTATGCTGCAGTTGTTCCTTGCTTTTTTCCTCTGCTAATGTCAGAAGAATGTAAGCAGTAATTAGGGGGTTACACTCCTGCTCAACAGGCATATTTTTGGATTTACATTTTTTGTAAGAGAGCACAGAGTGGAGCTCAGCACTTTGCAGTGGAGGGAAGCACTGTGTGACAGACCCGAGCGTCCGAGGGAAATGTGGCTGGCAGCAGGCACACATGTCGGGAACGAGACACTGTAACAGCTCTCCCAGTTTTGCACAGACCTTGCGTTTTCCAGCTGTTTACCCTTGAGATGTAAAATGGCAATTTGGCATAGGCTAACAACCCGGTGTGATGTGAGCATCTGCGTAAAAGGCTGCACATATGGAGCATGCCCAGTGCTATGAACAGCTTGTTACCCCACCCCCAGCCAATCTAGGAAGAGATGAAATGAACTTTGCACTTGCAAATGTCACTGAATTCATTTTGCACAGGATTTTAAAAGGTTCTTTTATAAGCACTATTTTTAACAGCCAAATCCACCCCCCAAAACAGAAAGGGAAAATGCCCTAGGTATTTTTCTGTGATCAATCTCGGTTTACGATCAATTGAAGCATTTCTCACATTTACCTGAAGCCTGGCTTATTTAACCTTTTTATCATTCAAGTTGAGATTTTTGGAGGTGGTGTGGATTTTTTGCTTTTCTGGATTTTTTTTTTTCACTGGCATGAGAAAAATTGAGAATTTAACTGCAGTAGAATACTTGGAAACAGTGAGGCTGCAAGCTTGAAAGGCAGAGGGAAGAGAAGGAAGGCTCTCGCAGCAGAGCATGGATAGGAAAGGAGCAGTGATTCTGCGGTGCTCAGTGTGCACATGTTTTATGAGATCAGTGCCGGGCGCTGCAGCTGCGGACAATAACTGAGCTGTCTGGCTAATGAAGGCCACCTGGATCAGGCTTCTGAAAAGAGCCAAAGGAGGACGTCTGAAGAATTCTGATATCTGTGTAAGCCCTACATTTTCATTATTAGCATGTATCGTATACATTGCAGAGAGGGAGGGAAAAAAAAGCCGGTGAGGAGAGGACAGTTGTTTTCATTGTGATTGAATTAGAACTCTATTTTGCATGCACGGAGATGCAGAGGGGAAGCAAAGCTGTCATTATTTATAGAGCTGTTCTAGCATTGTGGCTGCTTCCATTGTGGTGTTATGGGGACATGTGTTGAGTCCAGACGGATTTTATTAGTTGGAAGTTGATTTGTGGTTATTTGCATGTTTTGCTGAGGGGCAGAGATGGATACGAGCCATTTGCAGTTCTGATGGGGAAAGTGTGTCAGGTAAAGAGATTGCCCTAAAAAAAAATTGATAGCAGAGGTTAAATCTTTTAGCAGTGGTATTGTGTAATGGTAATTATTGATACCGAATTTGCATTTTGATTATAAAAAGTCTGTTTCCTTGCTAATACTGTCACTGTTTAGAGTTTTGTTTTTTGTGGAGCCATCCTTGAAGCTGCTGTGTGTCCTTCAGCCCTGCACTGCACCACTGCTGTAACTCTACAGAGCAACTGACTGCTTGCTGAAATGCACACAAATAAGAGTGTGGGGATAGTACAGGAAATAAAACACTGAGGAAGACACCTGCACTCTTGGAAAGTCTCCAGAAGAAAATATTTACCTAGACATAATTTTTCTAAGTGACTTTCCCTTTTGGGTAGATACTCTCTTTTCCGAGATACAGAAGTAAGAGAAAAGGCAAGGTGTAGAACCACTTCTACTTTTTTTTAAACACCAAAACAGGTTGTAACATTATTTTTTCTTTCCTTTTGCAGGGTTCGGCGGACTCCTACACCAGCCGTCCATCCGATTCAGATGTATCTCTGGAAGAAGACAGGGAAGCAGTGCGGAGAGAGGCAGAGCGACAGGCCCAGGCACAGCTGGAAAAAGCAAAGGTAAAGTGTTGTTTCATGTCACAGACTCATAAATTGCTTGGCTTTAAAGGACTGCAATCTCATCCATTACTGATACAAATGTTTTCAATGTGTTAACATGTAGCTTAAGACCTCTTATAAAGACTTTCCAGACAGCAGGAGGAAGTTTATTTTCCAGGAAAAATCACTTGGTATCAGTTTTTCATAAGAGGCACTTGATTGGCTTGTGTATTTAAATATGTGTGTTTCTTCTTATATACACATTTATTGCAATGTATTTCAGAGTCAAAAGCTTTGAGTTCTTACTGAAAATATCTGTGAAAGTTTGCCCGTGGATGGCTATGGCACTCGGAACTTACAGTTCTAGAAATCAGCCCTCAAACGTCCTATTCACCTCCTTTCAATGAAGGATTGGTCCCTACCAGTCATATGTAAATAGGGACAATCTGTTAGAAAGGTATTTTTTCCTGAAGATCCACTGACTTTCTTTACAGTTTGTGTGTTAAATGACCCTGTGAGTAATATGCTCTAGGACTTGTTAAGATTTCACCTTCTATCTCCATACTCCTGGCAGATAGTGACAATTTAGTAAGGAAATGAGCTTTAGGTCCTTGCTCTGTGTTTATAAATTTTCCATGAGATACATTTAGGACTGTGAGGGTTTTAGCAGTGACAGGATATGGGCTTCTTTTTCTTTTCTGTGTGCTGTATCTCTAAATGTTATTGCAACTGTAAAAATCATGCTCATATTATTTGTTACTCATTTATCACTTAATTCCAGTTTTTATTTTTAGTATGTTATCTGCCAGATCTCAGTGTAGGACTGTTTTACAAGGTCTGTTTTCTATTTTCATATCTTATATTTAAATACAATATTGAGATCCCTCCTCAGATCTACCTGATCTACATTTCTCTCTCACTTTCTCTCTGATTCCCCTCCTCCATTTTGCCTTGTTTTTTATTTTACTCTCTCCTTTCCATTTCCCAATCTGTTTCCTTTTCCCTTGCCAGCTTTACCTCTGCCCATTTATGCGACCTGTTTTACAAGGGTTCTTCAGAAATTCAGAAGTCCAGAACATTGAGCTATGCACCTGATTGTATGGCAAGGACCAGCTCCAGAAATAATGCAGTGCTATAATGCACAAGCAGACAGCTTGATCAGACCAGAAAACTTGAAGAGGGGAGCCAAAGATTTATTTTTTTTGGTTTACGTAATCATTGACCCATATTTAATAAGAGCTCCTAAAGCAGCTTTTTAATGAGATACTGGAACTTGCCAAGGGATCCTGAGCAACTCTTTGAAGTCAGGTCCAGCTGTCTTGGGACCAGTATAGCAGAAACTCGACAGCAGCAGCCCGCTTCTTCCCTTCCACCTTATATCTTAGAGAAGTTGCTGATCGTAACCAGGAGTTTCAGTTTTATCAGGGTTGCTTTTTGCTAGTTTCAGTTTTCTTTGCTCCTAGGAAAGATAATAAAGGCTGCCCTGAAATTCAGGTGAAGTGTTGAATTCTATCAGCAAGTGCACAATCTTTAAAAGAAGAGTTGAAGTAATAATATCTTGCAGACTAATCAGGGTAGCAGTACAGCACTTACTGCTGAGCTGATGCATCTCTTAGTGATGAGTAAATCTATGTGAGTGTTGCTATGGGAATTTGGCTTACTGATGCTGGCTTGGATGCATGGACAGCCCTTATGCAATATTCATGACCTCTAGCACAGCTGCCATTGTAGTTTGTAGAGAAACTGCTCTCAGACCTTGACTTTTTAAAACTGTATTTCTATACATCAAAGCAATGTTCTCACTCCAGCTGGCATAAGGTATAGTCTCTAGGTCTGACACCATCTGAAACTGTAAGACAACTTGTGAACAGTCAAAGTAGCAAAGGCACTGCCAAAATCAACCTGCTATAACAATGGGTAATTCCACTCATACAGAAAATACAAAACTAATTATTTAAATCATTAAAGCTGGAACTACATTAGCAATTTTGTTTCTCAAGTCAAATGTTAAGAATCATTCCAGGCTGTAATGTATGGAAATAATTTTGTGTAGAGGCTGTAACTGTAGTATTTAGTCTAGTGAAACATTTAAATTAATAGTATTAAATAAAATATTATATGCATTTGATGCTTACATTTGAACTAAATATTTTAAAAGACATGAATTAAACCTACCCTAGTAGATCTGAAATATGACATGATGTGCTTTTTTGCCTTTATTGGTGATTCAGTTCTTTACCTCCCTGAAACACAGCAAAATTAATGAAGTAGTGACTTGTGTTGGTGCTGCCTGGCTCCTATGTGCCTCCAGACCTGTTTCCCACAGGCAGCAAGTTTTAATATTTGTGAGTAGTAGTGTTGATCCTAAAGAAAGTCATTAAAATTGTATTTATTACAGGAATTAGAAGAGGATGACATACATGAATAATGCAGCAGTGGAGGGAAAATGACAAAAATCTGTTGAACTGTGTCACGCACTTAATGGAAACAGTTTAATGACATCCATTTTCGTTCCTTACAGCTAGGGAAAACACCTTAAACTGAAGAGAAAAATATAGCAATAAAGCACACAATGGCAAATTGCTAGAAGGATCTCAGGATTCTTAAATTTGGATTTTTATAGATTCTTAGTGTTTACGTAACTTGAAGCCAGAATATAATATGCTTATCTGATACATATCCAAGCAGGTAAAATATAAAAAACATGTAAGAAAATACTCGTTCTTGCCACATTTATTTACTTATTTTATACAAGCATTGCTTCTCTCGAAAATGGTTAAGCAGATTTTGCTGACTCACTTTGGCGTGTGACTTACTTGTAAGGAAGGTGGGGCTATGGGCACATCTATGGAGTTGTTCAGAGACAGAAAATTAAGAGGCAACTGATGAGGGGACCTGCAGGCCAGCAGCTGCTCCCAGGGGAAGCAGGTCTTCAGCTGAAGCTGTTAAGCTCAAAGCTAAGATAAAATGTACTTGGTTAGAACAGTTCAGCAATGCAAATACAGAAAGGTTTGAGGTTTGTTTTGGTTTTTTTTTTAAACAGAAAAAAACACTTCAAGGCATTGAGGATTTCTTCAATATCATCCTTGTAGTCAATAGCATGTGGCTGTCTCTAGGTTAAAGAGGACCCGTGATGTGGCTGAGCAGGGCATGCTAACAATGCCCAAATTTCCTGTTTCCATAAAAATATGCATCTTAAGCATTCACAAGTCAAAAAAAAGAAGCCTGATGACATTAATTGCTTTTAGTGTTAGTATTTTAGAAATTGTCACTTGTGCAGAAAAAAGTGTTTTATTTTTGAAGGATGAGGATTCAAAATAAAGGATAGTAAGTGAAACTATTTTTTTCCTTATTCCTTGCAAGTATTCAAGTAATCCTCCCTTAAAATATGGCAGTGAGTGAAAGGGATGATATCAAATTAAAACTGCGAGGTGCAAGTATTAGTGAGACCTTTAAATTCATTACTAAATGAACTAAAGTTTATACTGAAGAAAGGGAACTTCAGTAATGTTTTTTGGCCCTCTCCAGTGCAAATAAAATCAATTCAAATATGAAGTTGATATATTTTGCCTCAAGCACATCATATATTATGAATTAGTTTTTGACTGAAATGCAATTATTTAGGTGGTCTGTAAACTTCACTTCAAATATTTAGATTTTGCCTTTTTTTTTTTTTACCCCCTATGGCTCTAAAGCTCCTTATATAGAGACAATTTTCAAATGAGATCTATAGAAGATTTTCACCATTTTGGAAAATGAAATAATTTTAAGTTATTTCTAGTACCTTGGTTACTTAACATGCCAGTTAATGATCCAGGTTCTGTTTCTCACAAGGGACTGAGGGTCAACCCTATGCAGTTCTTTCTCTGTTAAGGATTGTTCTCAACATCCTTTAGTTCTGAAACTTCTTAAATGGTTGTCAAAATTGGATTGTGGCCTTCAGGGGTTGGTAACTGTGTCTGGAATAGGAAATAATTCCTCTCAGCTCTGCTATGTTTGCACTCTACCTAACGCCCTACTGCTAGCATCATTTTAGGAGTTCGTTAAAACTTGAAATATCCATGGGCCTAGTTTAAAAGGCCACTTAAATAATTTTTATGTTAAGACTGAAATTTTTGTACCAGACATCTCTTTGCTGGCTCTTAGGCAGTAATATGAGCTGTTGTGTTTTGCTTTCTTGATGTGTGCTGTGGTAATGGTGATGGCTTGTGACTGTGAGTAACAGTGCAATGTCTGAACTGTAATGCATTGCCCCTGTGCACGGGCCGGGGACCACAGCTTTGAAATGTGTAGCAGGCTGGGATAATGCCTGCAGATCCCTGCAAGACTGAAGCATGAAAAAGATTGTCAGATGTAATTATCCAGCACAGAGTGCCAAGACTAGTTATTTAAGTATTTTTTCACTCTCAGGCAGGTTTCACAGTCTCTGAATGACCCCATGCTGCTAGCAGACAACTGCAAAGCTAGTTAAGGTTTGTCTACTTAAGCAGCAGTAGCATTTTTGACAGACCAGAAGTGCCCATCACCTTGATGTGTGTCCTTATATTATGTCAGCTTGTTCCATCACGGAGACTCTTTCTATTTTCTCTTAATTATGAGGACGTTGTGGTGCTGAACAGCACTCAAAGCCATAGCAACATAGGGTAGTATTTTGTGTTAGCTGTTCTGTATGGTATTATTTTTTTCATTGATTTCTTCTCATTTGCCCTTTTGTTATAGAATACTTCCATCGCATGTTATCATTTAGATAGCTAATGTTGTGTGTCAGAGTTGTTGGGATTACATGGGAGCTTGCACAGTGGTCTGGCTGGAAATAAATGAGGTGTTAATCCAAAAGTACAATTATAAATCTGGTCGTTGCTTTGCTGCAGGCGAGTTCTGCATTCCTGATACTTGTTTTCTTAATTTTCTCCATTAATTTCTGCTGGTTTTCCTTAGGAATTTAAGACTGGGACATAACGCAGTTCCCTTTATACTGCTGTCTGTGACCTGTAATTTTTTTCTTGTTTATGTTCATGATG